CGGAGCGGAGCGCGGGGAGGGCGCGCGCGGCCCCGCATGGCGCCTCCCCGCCGCTGCCCCCGGCCCTGCCGCGGCGCCCGCACCTCCGCCGCGCCGATGCTCGAAACGCGGCGGCGCCTCCGTCCCGCCTTCTCCGGGGCCTCCCACAACGCGGAGCCGCTTCCCCGGCCCACGGGGCTTTCTGCGCGCGGAAGGAGGGCCCTGAGAGCCCGCTGCGAGCCCCGGCGGGAGCCGCGGGCGCAGGAGGCTGCGCGGAGCCGGCAGCCCCGCTCCGCGTTCAAGGGCGGCTCGCTGGGGAGCGCAGCACCAAGGCCGGGGTGGAGGGRGCTTCAGCCCGCTGCCCATCTCCCGAGACCTTCCAGCACCGAGCGTGCATGTCCGTGACTGAAGGAGATGCAGGTTGTGGCCAGGCAGAGACAGGGGAGGCAGCTGCAAGGCGCGTTTGCTTTGTGTACGTTTCTACTGCAGYGCAAGGACTGCGCCATGCAGAGAAGCTGGCCTGAAACGCCAAGAGGATGGGGTTTGAGCACCTTTCCTCTACCCCTGTGGCTTAYGAAGCTACTGCAGTCTTGGGTGCAAGGCCCAGGGGTTTCGTACACATGCAAGAAGGGAAATGCTCAGCCAACAGACCTCCCCTGGTGCCTAAACGCAAGACCAAAGCTGAAGGTGGAGTGAGGGAGCCACATCCACACAGAGACACTTCACAGCACAGATTCATCCACACTAACACGCAATAGTTACCTACAAGTAACACCTAGGCCAAGGTGACATGACTCGAGTGAATGACTTGCCTCACAAAACAGAATACAGTGTGGGATTCAGCTCCTGGCCTAGCAGTAGCTCAGCTGCCAACGCAAATTATGGAAGCTGGAAAAACCGTGGGCAGCAGCCTCATCACTTGTCCCAGGCTATGACCAGTCATTAAATAGCACTTAGCAGATGAATTAGAGCAGCAGAGCGTTCAGAGCAGCCAAGTACCTGAGAAGCAGGAAGGTTTCAGAGCCTGTGGCTGTCCTGGCCTAGGAGCAGCACTCGCCCACACAAACTAAACCATCAACCTCCTCCTCCTCGCAATCAGGGCCACAACTTATTATTACCTGCAACGAGCACAGAAACCGTCACTTCTTTTTCTCTTCCACTCTTCTCGCTCCAGAAGCTGCTGATCCATTTGCTCATAGCATCAAAGCTCAGGCGAAGGAAAGAGCATCCAATTTACATCAGTCAGAAATAACAATAAAAAGCTTACTTGCTTGCTTACCTTTTTTTCCTCCATTCAGACTGTACTATTCTTGTAACCCAAAGTTTCAGTGCATGGACCTATGAATCACCTATCACTTGTAGGCTGCAAAATAAGCATTTAATTTGGTCAAGATTTTTTTTTTCTCTCCAATGAACATTGATGCTCCACCTCTGCTGGTAGCTCATAGGAATTCCACAAAACTCTGGAGAGCCACCATGACTGCAACAAGCTTTGTAAAGCACAGATGGACAATTCCAGAAGTAGGATTAAGGAGCTGTGTCATTTGGAGAACATTATTACTACTGCATGGGTAATGAGAGAGAGATATAAGTTGTTTGTATAGGGTACCGTTATGTGAAGCATTTAAATAYAGGACTAGAAGGAACTTCTGGGTGCGCTCTAGTCCATGTCCTTTTTCCAAGGCAGAACCAGGTTTACCATAGAAAATCATGACAATTTTTTTTAAACCTTTCCTTGAACTAATAGAGTAATTCTTGTGGTAATTATTGGACCTATCTTCATAAAAGAGTATTTTATTTCTGTAATCAACTTCTGTAAATTTACTACTGCTGGCTTTACCTCTGTGGACATGGAGGACACTTAMTCACCAGTGTATAAATTGAAAAGCAGTAGAACACTACAGCAGGATAAAAAAGGGCAGGAAAAAAAAAAATCATACAGACACTCGATAGTTAACTGCACTATTAGTACTATGGAGATTTTCTTCCATATAGAGGTAGTCTTTCTTTTTTCTAAGGTAATTACATCTGGTCTAACAACTTAAGATTAGACTGTTGAGACATTACTTAAACAATAAATTTCTGGCTTTGTAGTAAGGTGTATTTTCTCTTTGCCCATAAACAAGACTGATTCTAACACCAATGCTTAATCACTAGGGTTTTTCCAAGGTTTAATCTAATTTGGTTTGCCATTTAAGCATACTCCTTCTTATCCTATYCAATGAATTTCACTCCATCCAGATCCTTTATAWTCACAGCCCTTTTAAGTTTTCACTTAGCATTTCTTCCTCTAGATAACAGCAGTTCCATTCTTCTAGCCTTTGACAGCAATACTACCGAACTAATGCACTCAATTTAGTCCCTTTTCACATTCAAAGCCTTCATGTTTCCATTTTACACTTCCAGAAGAGGACACCTCAGTTGCTTTGGCTTCTCTTGGAAGGTCATACTTCTAACAACTCTGACCAACTAGAAAAGATACCAATGGAAATAGTTTATCAATATTCTTTTTGAATTAATGCTGTTAACAAGAAGCTAATGAAGACWGACAAGGAGGAATTACAACATCCAATTCCAATGTTTGCTAACATTTACAGAAAATACTCCAGCTTGTGATTCCTAGTCCATTCGCTTCTTCTCTGACACTGTTCTCTAGCAACCCTGCATCTGAGAAATTTTCCGTATCGATCCTGATGTTTATTTACATACYCAGGTCTCCCCCATCACCTTTTTYGATCTGTAAAGATCAGGGTCATTTGCAGAATAAATCCATGTTATACCTCTTCATTCAAACATATGGTGGTATCAGATCAACCAAAGACAGCATACAGTAAAAAGACTCATGACAAAGTCAATCTTCATTTCCCACACGTGAGATGTAAGAGTGATAAAAATATTGCTATATACATGCACACCATGAAAAGGAGCAAGTAAACTATGAAAAAAATTTATTTCACTAGCCTTAAACAGAGAGTTACCATAATTTTAGGGTAAGATTCCAAACTTCTTTTGTATCAGTAAGCATTCTGTAAGCGAAGCTGGCAAAAACTGCTCACAAAACCATTGCAAGTCAACCCAAGTTCTAAGTGATTGCTCATATTGTACAAACTCCATAAAAGAAATAACCATCTTCTGTCCCTTTCCATGTCAAACAGGGGCAGAGCAACTTTGTGTCCCACAAAAAGCACTGCTTGTCCTCAAAACACTGGGTGCTTTTACTACTAGACAGTTAAAATACTGTTGTTATCAGTATTCGTGTCACCTGTTGTTCTGGTTGCAGACATTTCTTGGGCATGCAGCCATAGACATCCAAACCAAGTACTTTGTCATTTCTGGCATTTATATTTTGTCTCTGAAATTCACATTGGTGCTCCTCCAACTGGATCCTCTAACGCCTTCTTTTGCTCTTGGGAAGTAGTACTTCTGAAAGGAAATAAAACAGATTTTTCTGACACAGTTTTCAAYCCATTTTGCCTCACTGGAATGATTAAAATAGAAGTAGTTCCACTCAGTACACGAAATTAATTAGATGAGCTCTTGAGAGCCCCTCTAACCCCTCTCCACATAACTTTTAATTTTGATACAAAAAAAAAWTTCCTGACTCTATAGCATGTAATTTCATTCAACATATCAATAAAAACCCTATAAATACAAAATACTACGCTTCAAAACTTATTTAAATAAGCATCTTTCTGCTCCCCTTTARGGGAACTCCTGAACTCCTTTAAGATTTCACTGTGAATTTCACAATGCAGTACACACAAACACTTGACACCCAGAGATGGCCTATGAGTATTCTAAAGGCTTCAGAATTTGCTGGGTTATTCAGGGAAATGATTAATAAATWAACYARATAATAAMTAAATAATAACTAAATAATAAATAAATAAACTAAAATACTACTCTTTCAAGCTAAGAGCCTGTTTCTTTGGTCTATCAAAGCAGCTTTCCATTACATAATCCAGTTCCATCAGTCAGCCTAGCAAGGAATTGCCAGTGGAAGTCATGCCTTTACCTGGCCAGCTCCCGCCCATGGAGTAGCAGTGCAGCAGGTGACACGGCTGCAAAACAGAGTCCCCCAGCGYCCTACTGAATGAGGTATCACAAGATGACAGAGGTGCAACGTTCCATGGTGTTCTGTTCTAAAGTATATATTCTCCTCGAATAACATGGAAACATCTCAAGTTTCTGAGCTGCAGGTCACTTCAAGCTCATCTGACATCTCATTTTTCACTAACTGCATTGTTGGCCTTCATAGAGTAACTCCACAAGCAGCTCTAAGAAGCCTACTAAGAAGCCTACTTGCGACTACTTAGAAATATGTRATTGTAAATACTATAATCCTTATATATTACTGAAAAGTCTACTTCAGCTCCTAGTCCCAGAATTCTACAGCTATATGTCAGCCAAGGAAGCTATTACTGTATGTGTACCAGCTTGGAACTTAATCCCAGAAAGTTTGCTCAGCTGAACCTAGACTTCTTTATCTCCTCATTCCCATAAATGATGAACACCACAGAGGCTACTCTGGCCTCAAGTGCAGATGTCAGAGCTGCTATCAATAGGCATCTTCAGTAAGTGGGAGATGAAACTGAAAGCAACTTTTCCTAGTGCTGTATATTGGAATTCTTCAAGATAGATGTACATTACAAAAGATGAAGTCTCACTTTAACTGGAACAGTTTCATTCTGGACATTCTAGAGCAAAGTCCACGTGGAAAGAGTCCATGACTCACAGTACTGTACCATCACATGTGTGCTCATAAAAAAAGGCACCGGGCAAAGCTTCCCTTTTCACATGATTCTATACGGAGAACAATGCACAGGCTAAACACACACCTAGCCTTTGTAAAACACGGTCTAAACTATCAGTATTCACTGCACAAACATACAGAAGAGTAGGGAGTTATTAAAAACAGCTCTCCAGTTTGTTAGAACTTCAGCTGTACCTTCATCTGAGGTGTCTTCTTCTGTGATTACAGGCATCCCAACATGCCTAGTAACAGTTTCCTTCGTTCTCCTCATGGCACCTGCAGATAGATTTACAGGGAGAAAATAAATTAACACTCCCCACCAAACACACACACATCCCAAACTATCATCAACTTCTGCTTCTACATGAAAAAAATCCATGTTAAAATTTTGCAGTCTTTTTCTGACTGCATTAGACGAGGAACTTCAGTGAGCACATACAGGGCCATCCTGGTACTTTTCTTATATTGATGTATACATACATATATATCTATCAATCTGTTCTTATATCCAGATAACCAGGAACTACACAAAGAACAAGCAGTTAGTGTTTTCCTCCAGGGCACATCTTCAAAAAGAAGGAAAAAAAAAGCCCAAATATTGGAATTAGAACCTSATATCTATTTTAAAATGTTTGCTTCTTCAAATTGCTTTTATTTGATTCCTAGCTTAAATGATAAAGTATTTCTCAGGAAAAAGAGAATAAAATTACAGAACTAAGTCRGAAACAGTGAGTCACAGAACGATAAAAACTTTTGTCAAAAAGGACAAAGCTAAGTCTACCTTTAAACTAATCAAAAGTTGGAACAATTAGAATAATTGTAGGATTAAAAAAAACAATTAGATGAGAATTTTGAAACTGCGTCAATTGTCAGCATCAGRCAGGTTTCAATTCACTTTTAAGTAAAGGTTGCAATAACAATGAGTATAAATAATGAGTGTAAGAAGTAAAGGGAATGACTGAAGTAAAAGTGCAGCTCCTGGTCCTACAAAACATTGTCATTAAGACACGCACATTATTTGCTCTTAAAAAATAAGAATTGGTGTTCCTTCAAGTGCCCAACAGGAAGAGGGCACAAGACAGATAGGTTTTACTTATCCACCAAGATAAATGAACTACAAAATTGTCAGGTGCTTCAACTTATGAAGACCAACCTGTCTGTCAACAGGAGAAACAGTTGTGCATCTCAATCACCACTAAGTGTTTTGTATGGCAACATGAAGAATTAAAACACTGCTAGCAAAGTAGCTAACGGTTGTTTTTCCAATGAAAAACAAAATGGAAAATTATGTATGAGATTTCAGATTTACTATAAGCTGCATGCACTCTCCCTACCCAGTCAGACTGTGAAAAACAGGCAGGTTCAACTGTGACAGAGGCATCACAAACAGGGTGGCTTTTTTTGTTTGTTTTTTAATCTTCTATCTCCATGGATGAACAGTGAAATTGAATGAAGCACCCAGACAACCTTTTGCAGTATCTTCAGATTCACCAAGGTAATAAAGACATACCTTGGATTCCTGCAGAACTTTTACTCCTTGCCATCTGTGGTCTTTTACTATTCTTTTTACTTCTGCTTTGAGATTTCCCATAATCTGATCCTGAGTCAGAAGATTCCAGTTTCACTTGACGGTGTCTTCTGGATTTGGAGGCCTAATCCAAACAAATTTATATGTGATAAAGAAAAGCTAAACTGCTATAGTTACACATTAACTCCCATTTCCCAGGCTGGACTGCTGTATATTTGAAGGCYGTTTCCCTTAGTAGCATATATCCATATGAGATTTTAATAACTTAAAAAAATAATATTTACCATAGGTTTGACAATTAAATGCTATTATTTCCAAATTAGTAGTTACTGAAACAGTGTTCTCAAGGTCTGCCACGGGGCTTTGAATCCCCAAAGTGTCTTCAGAGCCTCCAATATCYGAGCTTCAAGGTCAATGGGATTTAATGCATCACTTTTTTTTTCAAACTTTTTTTTTTATTTTTTCCAAACTTTTTATTCTATATCCTTAGAAAAATGATGCATTGACATAAAAAATTTTATAAACAAAAACTCCCCAGAGAATTTCAGACTTAAAATAAAGATCTGCTTATTCATACCTAACTGCACTTTTCCACAAATCTAACAAAAATACAAAAGCTTTTTGGTTTCCCAATATGTTCAGCGGGAGAACTAGAGCTTTCAGAAGGTGAACTAGAGTGTGGTTTAACTCCTTTTTTGATTATGTTAAGCCGGTACTTACAACTAATTTTTTTAAATAAACCACATCCCTATAATCTAACCTCATATCTTACCTCAACAACTGCAGAATAGGATCTGTACTTGATCTTAGCCAATGCATTTGCTCTTTCAGAACCCTATAAAGAAACAACAAATCTGCTAAAAAACAAACGAACAAAACACATTCAACCCTGCATGTGCAGGAGGGTTGGCCTAGATGATCTTTAAAGGTCCCTTCCAACATTAAGGATTCTATGATTCCATGATAACAATATTAAAGGATAATATCAAATTAGAAAAATATTTTGGCAATATCTCATTACAGTTGTAATTTTATAAGAGACGCTGCAGAAATCGTGCTTAGCTTAAAGAAAAGTAGTAGTCTAAAGTTCATAAAAAAGGCAAAACATAATTTTGAAGGTCTTTATCAGCAGAGGAAGAAAAACTGAAATCTGAAGTTTCACTTGCCTATTTAAATTCTAGGATGAAGTAAGGAAGTATTTAAACAGAAGGCAGAACAGTATTAGATAGTTTTATGGCATAACTTGTGTGTATTCCACTTAGTTGAAACTGCAGGAGAAATGATAAAGGAGTTTGGCCAGTAAGATACAGCTATATCCCCTCCCTACCTGAAAGGGACCATAGTGTTTTTCTTTTTTTTTTTTACTATAAGCATCTAAGTCATATCAGTAGTGAATATTAACATGAGAATAGCCCAATTTAAAAAAAAGAAATAGAAACAAAAGCCCAACCAAACTCCACTACCACTACAATTTGCTTTGGTAATTTCTCAACTTCAAAATTTGATAACAGATTTTTGACTGGAGAACGTATTCAGCTGGATAATCTTTCTTACTTCTGATGCTAGAGAGGTCCCTTCTTCCTCTCTGTTTAGTATTTCATCAGCTTCTTTAGCATCTAAGAATAATTTCTAGGGAAAAAGAAAAAAAACAATTTTTAAAATCTCTATCTTACATAAACCAATTAAGAGAAATCCAAGAACTGTGCAAAACAAAAGTTAACCACATACCTATTTTCCTCATGCCGCTTATGCTACAATAACATTGGCTTTGCTGATCCCAAAATAAGTAGAATGAATAYATTAAGTCCCTCCATTACAATATTACCCCTAAGCCACTTCTACCAGGCTTATATTTCAGTATACATTTAACTTATTAGAGAGACAGTATCACATCCCAATCSCCACAACACTCCCATATGTCTGTCTAGTGTTTTACTTATTCCATGTCTTCATTGTTACATTTTTTTTTACTTAGGTCTAAGATTTATAAAGTTATCAAGCTAAATTAGCCAACACTTAAATGTTAGCATAAAGCATTAAATTACCACAGCATAATGGTCAGTATAACCTACCACTCTCTTCTGCTGCCATTCCTGATATTCCAAAGTTATATCTTTAAGATTAACTACAAAGTCATCTTTTATCAGGCTCAGRGCCTTGTCTGGCTGAGATTTGTCAGCTGAAATGACACACTTCATTTTCTGATAATGCTCATGAATATTCATCAGTTCCTAAAAGGAAAACAAGAAAAAAAAGGTGGGGAGCATGGAGGGAGCAACAAAACAGAATTAGTTCTCAGCAAAGAAAGTCAGAGTTACTGAATAAACAGGAGTATTATGASTGTTATTATTTGTCCCCTTCCCATTTAGACCACATTAGAGGTGCCTGCAAACACTAGAGCATATTTTAGTGTTGAAAAAGTACCCCAGGTCCTACAAAACAATGCTATTTTCTGTATGCTAAGTAAAGTTGCTGGTGCAGACTATTACCCTTTATTAAAAGTTACTGTACCTCTAGTACATCATTAGTGATGAGGCTGTTTACTCGGTTACTTGGGTCCTTAAACTCTTCTTTAAATTCATTTTCCTGGATCTTCTTCTTAGTTCTGTAGTTTAACTAAAGAGACACAACACTTCATAACTTGAATAGTAAACTTATAGCTGCATCTCCTCTTGAAACTTCTCACTGCAATTCCAACAGTAAGTGCTGAAAAGCACATCCCATCAACAATACATAATTTTATTATCAAGTACTCAGAGTCAGCACTTTTTAAATTTAGCATTTCCTATTCTCTAGTCAAGAATTTGAACAAGCACTCAGACTCAAGTGTTTAAAACTCCCAGAGTATGAGGAACTTCAACCTTTAAAATATTTTAGCAGCAAATACTTTTGAGCAGTATATAACTAGTTTTACATAAAGTCAGACAAAGTGTTTTTTAACAACATCAAAGATGAACTAAGCACATCAGTGTTGCCAAATTCAGTTAGCAACAGAAAACTGAAGATCTCTTTTAAAAAACAGCAGGTCATTAATGTAACAACTCACTAGCTTGGGCATGGCTGTGAAATGGAAAGCTCTGGCAACTCGCAGTTTCCTAAAGACATAGGCTGCATCATAATGCTGGGACTCTATCAGGTCCTGTTGAAACTTCTGGACTTCAGGCCAATCCTTGAGTGCAATTCTGATCTGCAACAGAAGTGCGTGTTGTTATATGAAAGTGCATTTCAAACCCACTTTGGAATTCAACTTCTCTTTCAATCTCTATAAGGCACAAAAAAGACCCAAAGCTTCCCTCTCCAGGGGATATATTATTATACAGCATTCCAGTTCTCCTGGTCTGCTCTACCAAGTGCAACTCAACAAACACAAATAAGCTCCTGAAACGTATCCTTTGYGTACTAAGCAAGAAGTATGCACTAACAACAGTGCTCTTCAGGCACAGCTTTTAAGTCCTGTTATTTGACATAAAACCATGCAACCTTGAGCTGCTAAGACAGCTTTCACAGGTAGCTTGAGCTAAAAACGGAACTTCACTGCAAGATGTGGTTCCAGTCAATAAGAACKGGCACTAATTCAGTTATTTTTCATTCTGTTAAAATTCTAAGGAATAAGTAGGGCTGTAAGGAAGGATTCTCTGCAGCTGGTGAACATGCTCCCTATTCCCCTTTCCACTGCTGAGAAGTGATGAAACCCTTAACTTGGAAAGCTTTAGAATTGGCAACGCTTGTGCAAACACCACAGTCAGGCTTTAGGAGATATAAAAAAAAACCCACTTAAGTCACTATGCAAAATCTCAGGCTCCAAGGACATTTTGCAAGGCAGCTTTCCCAAACAGCCTACTTTGTTCAAAACAGCGTTATGTTAAGTAAGGACTGAGGAAATGCTGTATCAAATTTGTGATGACAACCCAGATTAAAGGTATACCAGCACATCTTGCACAGGTCGTTTACTGAGGAATAAAAATARATAAATAAAACCTTGAGAGCAACTACCTTCTGCTTGGGCTGGCAGAGCTGCGTAGAGTAGAGGCCGTAGAGGAGGTAGAGGGCGCCCACGCGGATCTGGAAGGCATAGGGCGGCAGGAGATACTGCTGCGCCAGCTCCAGCACCTTCTTGGTGAACTTGTTCCTCTCCAGCGCCCTTATCCTGCCGCTGGAGGAAGCGCATGGGAAGCACGTGAGAGGCAGCGGCTAGCAAACGCGTTAGGAAGCCCGCAATACAGAAATATTGGGGACATTGAGCATGTCAGAAGATACCAAAGAGCTCAGGTAAGTTGGGGGAGGGGGCACGCCGTTATTAGGCCGTAACGGTCGCCGGGGCCGCTCGGGGGTCGCCGCTCACTCACTAGAAGATGGCGTGGAAGCGGCGCTGCCGCCACAGCTCGGCGAAGCGCTCGTAGCGCACCGTGTCGGCCTCCTGGAAGGCGCCGAGCAGCGCCTCGCAGTCGGCGCGCAGCGCGGCCGCCGAGCCCATGGCGCCGCCATGGCCGGCGCGCGCCTCGCGCAGCCGCACACGCGCCGCGCGCCCCCTCCCCCCCGAAGAGCCGCCGCGCGCATGCGCAGCGCTGCTCGGACCGTTAACGGCCGGTTAACGGCGGACGGGACCCCCGAGTCGCCCCGTCGGGACGGGCACGTCTAGCCCTGCTACCGACACTATGTTGCGGTGACGGCTGTATGTCCATTAGGGCTGCCAGCCTCGTCCCTGGCAGAGCCGCGCGCCGCCGGCGGAGCAGCCCGCGGCAA